GCCTCTCAAAGGTTGAGCGAGTGATTTGACTACCAAATTGGCATTGAGATAAGCATGAGGCCACAATTTCATCATGTTTACACCGTCCCGTGTGCGCTGCGCGGAGTGACGCAGCAGCTACTAAAAATACCCTCCGTGATGCTAGACCACGGCGCTGGACTCGCTTGGCCTTCGCCATTGGATAATTTGCTTGGCCAATCCGCCGTGGTCAAGGCGCCTTTCTGCTTCGTATGAACGCGGTCCAGGTCCTGAACCCGACTACTACCTCTCGCTAGGAGGCGTGTCTGTGTGTGTGTATGTAGACTAATTAAGTAAAATTTGTGGGTTTTGACGCTTCGTTTTGATGCGCTCCTATCTAGCTGTACGCGTTTTAACTCTCCCGGGTTCTAACTTTCGTCGGTATTCGTAGATCACGCCGACTGGTCACAAGGGGATGAGTACGTGGCATGGGTAATTGAGTCTTCTGAGACTGGCTACAAAAGGAATAAAAGTTGGCGAGTCTTTATGACTTCATGTTGGTGTTCCTAATGATGACTTCAGGGAAGTCCAGACACGCCAGATGATTTCATGTCCAGTCAGTCAATTCACCTTCTTCTCCTCCATCTACGTTGCCTAATTCTGGTTGCCTATTCCCTGTACCCTGTTTTCGCTTTGCCTGTGTCAGAAACACCTGTCAGTGGTGATTGCCATGAATGACGTCAACGGCGGTGCTGATGGTGGTGGTGATGGAGAGACAAATGAACTGGGTGGAGAATGTCGCGGAAGCTACCGAATGAGATGCACCCCACACAGGTGTGTGAATACCAGATGAGAATCAACTTCAAAGACGACTACTTGGTTGGTCATTGCTCTACTTCACTTATTTCATGCTCAAGGGCGGTGGTGTCGAGTCGCTTTGTTCCAACTACCAGTGACTGACAGAGGGGGTGGTTGCTAGTGTCATGTTACAGTTGCCTTCTTTAAACACCTTGGTGATGATGATGATGATGATGAAACTCGTTGACACTTTTCGTCATGCTCAGTGTCAATCGCAGCACCATCAAGCACGATCTCAGAAGACTTAATTACTATGGGTGGAAGGAGGGAGGTCGATGGTAGGGAAACTAAATTTTGCTCACGTCTTCTGAGGTGGTGATTAGTGAGTCCACGACTAAGCGATGGGATGACGCATGAGACGCCACTTTCGGGGGCCAGATTTCGTAGGTGATGCAATCTCCATCCTATGCGTGACTGATGGTCTGATTGAATGGCTGCTTTAGGTTTGTGCGCTGCCACTTCTTCCGATGTATGCATTTGAGTAGTGCCCCCGATTACTCGAATTCGGGAATCGCGTTTGTCGCGTCTTGAGCCACATCATTATCATCTGGCAACAAAGTGGGTCGACAAGCGTTCGCGTTGCAGTTTGCTTCTCTGGTGAGGAGGTGCCACAACTTGGGAAGCAGGAATTTCGAGTGAGCTGCATCCTCCCCATTTCCTCACTAGATGGTCGGTAGTGGCCAGTCAATCGACACATGACAGAGATGATTTTGGCTCCACCCGTCTGGGTTACGCCTGATCACTCGTAACAGAGGCTTGACCTTGGGCTTGAAATGATTACTAGTGTACTTACAGTGCGTTGAGATGTTATCTCAACCGTTTATGAGGGAATGAGAGTGTGCGATCTCCAGAATTCTTGCATACGGGTCATTGGTGTTGGATAGTCCTGCAAGTTGAACTATTTTTCGTTATGTGTTCCTAATGCATCCGGGATCCCGTACTGGCTTCAGATAATAGTGAAACCGATGTATGATATTTGCGGCCCTAGGATGGACTGCAGATTCTGTCTTTAACCACATTGAAAAGGCATTCAAAGTAACGAATTGATAGACACTGTTTATTGGGTCGGCGAAGCCAAGGTAAAATAGTGGCAAGGACTTTGGAGTTGGGGCTATGATATCGAGAGCATGACTTTGGGAGAGTAGTTTAGGCTGGAAGATGAGAAATTATGTTTGACTATTTTTGATGACCGCTCATGGAGTGCTCCAGTGAAGCGCTCCTGATTGGAGACGATTGAAGACGGGCATCCACTGGTGGCAGTATGTGAGGGAGGGTATGCATCGCTAAATAGTATCAGTGAGACGGCTTCTTATTTTCGTCAGCAGCAGGGGGTCCGCTGTGCCATATCTACGCGGTTATACTACTAAACTCATTTCAGGAGTAGTGGTGACGTCCAGAACAAGTTCCATTACAAGCCTAAATTGTGCACCACTCGCGTGGATTAACATTCACCTTCGTGATTAAAAAACATTTGAAATGATTGACCATCCCTAATATTCTCTACAAGTAAGAAGTCTAAACATTTTACCTGCCAAAATGACCACACTTTAGTCTTCTTTGTGCCACCCTCCCACCCCCTTCCTCTTTAACTAAGCCCATCAAGCCGAGCGAGTGAATCAACTACCGCGATGGCATAGAGGCACACTAGAGGCTACGATTTTATCATCTTTGCGCTGTCCCGTGCGCAGCGTGAGGTGGTGCGGAAGATACTAAAAATACCCGCCGAGACGGCAAACTACTGCGGTAGCCTTGTTCGGCGTTAGCCGATGGGTGTAGGAGTAGCGGACACGAACGGAATGCGCCTTATGACGACTTGAGGCCAAGCTAGATACGCCACACTCTTTTACGTGCAGTGAGTGAATTCGCCTTTTTCTCTCCACTGTCATCTAATCCTTGTTATCTACTCTTTCTGCCCCATTTTCAATTCTCCTGTATCAGGAACACCTTTATGTGGTGATTTTTATCAATGCCGTCAACAGTGGCGCCGATGGGAAGACAAATGAACTTGGTGGGAAATGGCGCGAAAGCTACTAAATGAGATGCACAGCCCTAAGTGAACGAACACCAGATGCGATTCAATTTCAAAGACGACTACCTATTTATTCTTTACTTCTTCATTGCCCCGCTTCTGCTACGCGCCTCATGAAGCGCGGCGAATTTGTGGTCCTTGTGCCGACTACAAGAAATTGACAGGGAGGGTGACTGCTGGTGTCGCATTGGAGTTGCCAATATGGCAATTCGTTGTCCTATTTCGTCATGTTCGGTATGAACACAGCACCACAGAGTAAACGCCCACACTACTACACACATAAAGGAGAGAGTTTGGTGGAGGGGAAAATGAATTTGCTCACATTTGCAGGTCAGACTGGTAAGTCATCGACCGAGCAATGGGATGACACACCAGGTGCCACTTTTACGGATCAAATTGTGCTGGTGATGGAATGCTCATACCATGAGGAACCTATTGAAAGGATGGCTATTTGATTGATCGAATAACTAACTACTGGAAGTTTGCGCACTATCATGTTTTTTAGTATACACTTTATACACGTGTAGTTGGAAAACGCACTCGTCAAGTTTCGAGCCGCCTCCCCGTCACCATCCTCATCATGCTTTTCAACAGAATGATTCCTACCGGCTCCTTTCAGTGCATTTCGCTCCACTAATGAGGAGTCTTACGTACTGGGGAATAGTAGGTACGAGTGGTCTGGCTCCTGTGGACCTACCACCCTGAGAGTCGATAGTCAACAGTCAATAGACAAAAGAGGACTTCGACACAGATGTGGTTATCAATCGAGGTATGTCAGTGAACCAAGGGATGGCTGCTGACTGCGCGGAGCGTTAGCAGACACTGCTCGACTGTGAGCCCGAGTAATTGGATCGACTGATTGACTCTAAGGTTGATACGACCACCAGTGTACTTATAGCGTGTAGAGAGGTCGGCTTCCTCAATGAGATTGTTCGTCAAGTTGTCGTAAAAGTAGATCAGTGCTGGCAAGTGAACTGTATTGCGTTGCAGATATGATAAAGACGATGCGACTTCTTTGTGGCAGCAGGACGGAATACAGAGGCTCACTCAGACCACTTTGAAGAAGCGTAAAAAAAATGAGATAACAAAAGCCATGTATTAGACCGGCAAAGTTAAGGTGTAGTCGTGATCAGAAACTCCGTGGATTAGGTTAGGATATCGGAGAGGTGGACATTTGAAAGGGATAGTTCAGGTGGGAAGCTGCGACATTGCGCTGAACTACACCAGGTGCTTGCTCATAGATTACTCCAGTTGAGCGTTCCTGATTGAAGACGACATAGACTGCTGGGTCCTCTACGCACAGCTGCAGTTGTGAGGAGAGCTTCGGGTGGCCGCCAAGTCCATTAGTGTTGGTACCAGTGGTCGAATGGATTGTAAAGTCGATGCCATAGGCTCTTTTATATAGTAATGATTACGGAGCCGATGTTTAAAAGTGGTTGCTTGGAGAAGCTACTGGGACGGATGTTGGACATACTGAGGGCAAGTGGAGCGTCCTGATCATGCTGGTGGGTTACGCAGTTCCATTCGTTTTGGCAGTGTTGCAGTCATATATCAATCAATCAATGCGTCCACCCATCCATTCTTTGCATTCATTTGGTCAATCTCTGAATCAGCACTCTGTGTGCTGATGTATGATTTTACCCAACAGACATCTTTATACCGATTTACTCAAGTTGATCAATTACGACAGGTGTGTTGAAGTTCTCTATTTTCTACTGATTTTTGGATTGGTGGCCAGGTTATGATCCAGTCGACTAGCACACACGGCATCAGATTATAAGAGGGGTAGCGCAGTTTACAACACGTACAGAGGTCAAACTGCGCAGCCCACGAAACCTTCGTTTGTTGTGGAATTAATATGACCACAGTCACTAATTTCACGACTCCTTACAGCAAAAAATCTAACAAGACAGCTCTCAAATCGCCGCGCGCTGACAAGATACATACGTGGTCATATATGGGCTAGACCATGTCAAGCCAACATTACACCTGTGATCTGTAATGTTAGCAATGATCACGTGAGGAAGACCACAGCGTGAGAAAGCTGCAGTTTCTGATTCATCGTAATTGAAATCTGCTAATCCGATCAAAGTTGGACAGGACACGCATGACATTAAGGCTGTTTCTCGTGTCCGGTCTTTACTAATTGCATTCAGCCTGCGGTTCCGCAATTCTCTGGGTCAGCGATCGCAAAATATTTATAAGCCAACTTACAGTGTTTGTTGAGAGGTGCAGGTAACATGCATCCATCGCATTCAGTGCACATCAAACCGGTGTCACGAGGTCACTGCGCTGCTCTGACAGCCAAATCGGGAAAGCATGTTGACAATCTTATTGGAGTGAGATGGCTAATTCTCAGACAGAATTGGCCGACCGGTGGTCCATAGTCGATGTGGCAGCGGCATGACAAAGCGGTGCGGACTCGTTTATTAGCACATGACTCAGCGCACCTCAGCAGTCAGCGATGTCATGCTCAGGCCCATTTGTTATTCGCAGTTGTTCATACAATTGACGTTGAGTTTGCAATGTTTCCGTACTCACATCTGGTGATCCACTAACAGTGGTGGCGGAACGTGGGTGTCGTTGATTTGACGTCGTGTCAGTGTTGTTAGTGGCTGCCATACTCAATCACTCTGCACCGCACCACACCGCATTGCGTCGCGGCGCGCCGCTCTGTACCGCGTTGTAACAGTGGGACGGAGCAAAGTGATGAAGAATTCGCACCCACATGTTTGTGTTCCATTGCAGTGGTAATCTGGTGGTCGTACCAGTCGCTCCGTTTGAAGTTTCCGTCTTCAAGTGATCTTGGGGTGACAATCTTACTGCTGCTGGCCCTGCTACGGCATGACAGCATGGTGAGTTGTCTGCCGGTATGTCAGTCTACGCTGCTTTTACATTGGCTGTGGACTACCGGTCGACCGATTTTGCCCGGGAATAAGTTATTTTAGCCCAATGGGATTGCCAACATGCTTACCCGATTTGGCTGTCAGAGCAGTGCAGTGACCTCGTGACACCGGTTTGATGTGCACTGAATGCGATGAATGCATGTTATTCTTCCATTCTCCACCCAACAGCTAAAGTGGGTTTTGCAGATGATTTGCGATCGCAGAACCGCAGGCTGAATGCAGTTAGTAAAGATTGGACACGAAACACAGCCTCGATATCATGCGTGTCCTGTCCAACTTTGATCGGATTAGCAGATTTCAATTAAGATGAATCAGAGACTGCAGCTTTCTCACGCTGTAGCCTACCTCGCGTGATCATCGCCAACATCACAGATCACAGGTGGCCTAGGCATGACATCACGGCGATCAGACAGCTTTCATGATAGATTTCTTGTTGCAAGGAGAAAACTTAGTAACAGTGTTCAGCCTAACTGCACGGTGAACAAAAAATTAATTGACTGTGCGATTTGACTTTCGTCCGTTTTGTAAACCGCTTGGCCAGCCCTATGATCTAATGCCGTGCGTGCCAGTCGTCCAGATCCTATCTTTGCCACCAATAGAGGACTTCAGCAAAAGTTTCGATAGTGTTGAACGCGAGAGGGCCGAAACAGAGGCGCTTGTTGGGTAAAATCAGAGTACAGTACACGGAAGATGATTCCCAGACTGACTGGATGAATGCAAAGAATGGATGGATACGGGGTAGGTGGACAATTACGAGAGGGATGTATGGATGGACGAATGAAAGTTGAATGTGTGGGTGGGTGGATGGATGGATGGATACGGCCAAACGCAGTCAACACGAACCCAAGAAAGTACGTAACCCACCCAACATGCGAAGTCAGTCGTGGTAACTGAATGACCATCCATCAAACCGTATTCAAAAAAAGTCGTAGTGGAACATTTGTGAATCGCGAATCCATTAATGTGCCTTCTTTAAAAAACACCTTTTGGGTGTCATTAGTCACATACGCCTTCACAGCGGCCGATTCAAGCCCCACCCATGAGTTGGAGGTGCATTTCGTTCTAACTGAGCTCTTGACTTCGTGGGCGTACCCTGAAGTGGAACACTGCTTCATGCGACGGGAAGTGCCCTCCGCGCCTTGTCACTACTCGCAGTGTTTGGACTGGCCTGCTCCACTGCCGTCCGAACCCTGTTCATGGCGGTGACGTGGTAAGCAAAAGCATCATTTACGGCGGGAAACAGAACTGACGTGTGAGTACCTGCGTGAGGATGAAGACGTGAAATCCCAGACCGTGAATATCCACTCGTGGAGAAGAGATCAAGCGCAGTACAACAGAGATAAGACGATTAACCGCAGAAATCTGACATTCAGAATCTCCATGACGGCCGTCCCGAAGCTGATGAAACACTTGGCCGCGGTGACCACCACTCCCACTAGCCCACACCAATCGATCCCGTGGATATTGACACGGCAAGTCCAACCTACCCAGTCCCCCCGTGAGGGGAAGCTCGAACAGCCCCCAACTCCTCATCAGAACGAGGGAGTTTAGTGCCGCAACGAGTCGAAGAAGTGGCCCGATTACGGAGACAAAAATCCACCGAATCGCATCATCGCAAATGACGTAACCTCAAAGGGCTATTCCACTTCAGAGTCCAACCGTAGTAACAATCCATCATCAAGGAGCAGAGAAGACCAGACCGACCCAAGAGAAATCCAAACTCCCCCTCCCCTTGACAGTGGCTTAAAGCCAAGATAAGTGTGACAATCCCGAACAAATAAAGACAATCATCCACCCGCAAGCGCATCCCACAGAAAAGCCAAAGATCTCCTCCATGAGAAAACTACATTTTGGATCACGATTCTACAAACTCATAAACACAAAAGGGCTAAACAATAGCAAAGCAGAGGAAAAGATTATTACATCTTTTCTACTGTCCTAATTCCAAGAATATCAAAGCAAGTCTTCATTATCGCAGCCGTTGCTTCACAAAGCAAGATCCTCGACTCGTGGATCTTCACTACTTCACCTAAAATCACGAAAATAAAGTTAGCAGAAACCACGGGATGAGGAGTAGGATTGCCGCCAAACTCACCGTTCTCACGTTCTATGCAATAGCAAGAGTCATAAAACTCCGTGAACACACCGCTAAGTTCATAGAGGTAGTCGCATAGTTTATTGAAAAAGAGATCCTCCTCCAGCTTGATCAAAACCTCTGGCAGACGGCAGAGCATCTTACCCAGTTTAAGTTCTTTTGGATGCTCCAAGTTAATATGAGCGGTTTCATGCACTTCGGCAAGCTTCTCCTTACTCCAGCCTGTATTTCGAACGATAGACCTGCGTGGGAAAGAAAATGAGAGTCAGGGAGGGAGAAAGAAGAGGGAAAGGTAGTGCGAACTCACTGAATTCGAGTGTAGGCGTAGAGAAGGTAGGCGGCTGTGTTGCCCTTGTCATCCAACATCTAAAAGAGTGCCACAATAGCGGTAGGGAGAGGCGGGCATAGTGGAAGTAGACATCGTGAAGACTATTATGAGTTGGTTGACAGTCTTTCATGATTGCGCTACCCTTCAGTTCCTCTCCAACACTGTTGTGTCATTGAGTGTCCATGTCAGCACCAGTCGCATATAGAGCACCAAAAACCTACCTTATCAAAAGAGAAGACGTAGTCATTGATCCTATTGTGCGAGAGATCAGCATACTTTATACAACCATAGGCAATGGCCTCAGCTGCTATCCACTGTTCCTCCGGAGTCAACTCCTTATCCCTGCCCTTTTCAGCCAACTTCTTTTTCACTCGATCCACCCCCTCATTCAAGAGATCAATTAACTTTACAGTTTCGCCCGATCGAGTCTTGAATTTCTTCTTGTCCTCCCCAAGCACAACGCCGAAAGGAATGTGCTCCAACTTAGTACGAGCAGGATCCGCTAAACCAGAGGCTTGAGCAGCAGAAAAGATGTTCTGTAGATGCAAACTTTGGCCCGAGTCAACAACGTAAATAATTCGTTCACCACCCTCTTCAACAACTCGCTGGCGAACTGCTGTCAAATCAGAGGTGTCGTAAGTAAAGCCGCCGTCGGATTTAACTATGGTCAAAGGGACACTTGACCCTGAAGCCCACATTATCTTTCGACCGTCATCGAATTCCAGTAGACCGCGTTCGTCAAGGTACTCCACAAGCCCGATCATCCGTGACTGATAAAAGGATTCGCCACGTGGAACGAGGTTCTTAATGTCCAGACGACGGTAAATGTCATCAAATTCTGAACGGAAGAGATGGGAAAAATCATCAAACCTCAGCTCAAGTAGGCTACTTCACGCAGAGAAATAGGAGCAGCCAATTCGTAAACAAGGAAGTTGTGTTATCAGCCTCCAAGAACGTATTTGAAAAGGCATTCCAAACTGCATTCACTCGCGCGCTTTAACGTCTTCTAGTGAGTCACTCAAGCGCCGCATCAGTGTCACCGGGGCGAGATAGGACCGAGACTCTTTATTTCGTCATGAATGCAGTAACTCACGACTGCACCAAAGCTTACATCCGAAAGAGTAGACTGGTTACTATTGCGGAGGGGAATAAATTGTGGATGGATGAATTGTCGATGATTCACGGCGCAAGAGTAATTAAGACCAAGTCAAATCTCGGCACCTATAGTGACCAGTAATGGCTCGCGAAGTAGATACAAACATAAATGAAAACCTTGCTACAGGAAGCTAAGTCTCTTTATAGAACATTGTTCGACCTTAAGCGAGCGATACGAAACGAACCTATTGAATGGGGTCTAGCAGTAATAAACATGACACCAAAATCTATTTCCTATCCAAGAGAAGCACGGCTACCGCTAAATTAGAATCGCATCACTACGCCGAAGAATTGTGACCAGTTATCTGGAATACTGCTTCAATGAGTGATGCAGAAGAATCCGCGGTCACTGTGAATGATCAACTAACCTGGTCCGATGGTGAAATGTGAGGGCCAATACTTTCCACGAGGAAAAATGCCACTTTATTAAAAGATGAAACAGTACCAAACTTACCCAGCTTAGAGACATCGCAAATCTTTTCCCAATTCTTAATGTGTTCGGGATCGTAGGACTGTAGCTTGACCACAGCATCATAGGACCGCCTCTTGAAGTCCTCATCCTTGTCAAAACGCACTTTTGCCTCCTGGTAGAACTTCTGCAGATCCGTAATGGGCAAAGGTCTGTCACCGAGATCCTCAAAAGTATCCTTCAGGTGCGCAATCAACATGCCAAACTGCGTACCCCAGTCACCCAGATGATTGAGCTTCAACACGTCATGACCCATGAATTTGAGGAGCCGAGAAACGCTCTCTCCAATGATGGTCGACCTTTAACAGAAGGATAAAGGTGCATCAAAAATAACAAATATGAATAAACGTTCACGGAGTATCAACACCAACCTAAGATGTCCAACATGCATCTCCTTGGCAATGTTGGGACTGGACATGTCCACAATACACTTAAGGCAGCGCTGCGGCGGAGGCAAGGAGAAACCAAGACGGACAATTTTCGTGACCTCTTCCTCAACAAAATTCCGGGAAATAAAGATGTTAATAAAACCACGTCCTGCGATGTCAACCTTTTCAACTAACGACCCTTTTACTAGATGGTCACAAATCTTGGTGGCAACATCAACTGGAGATATCTTCGTGCCGTTAGCAGAGAGTTGTCTGGCCAAACTCAAACCATTGTTACACTGATAATCACCGAAATTTGGATGCGAGCTTGGTGTTACGACAGTTGACACGGAAGTCAGCTGTGGGAAGGCCTTCTTGGTTGCCAAATCAAAGGTGGCGATGAGAGCATTAAGAATAGACACTTGATGCGACATGAGCGTTTTTTGCATATTGTCGATAGCCTAAAAATTCTAGTAATGGTTATGCTTGGGACGTACCTTTTCCAGCTGCTCCTTTTGGTATGTGAGCTTCGAATGTTCCTCGAACAAATGACTGAGTTCCTTAAACCTTGGCCTATTTATAACCTCCTCCAACCTTGTGGCGAGACCATCCACTTGCTTGAGCATGACGAAACCGGCAATAGCAATAAAACCTACCGGTGCCTTATTCAAACAATGCACAATGTGTGCATTTTAATATGGTTGCATACAATTTAACTTCGGAGTAAATTGGTTTCTTTACATTTCATTCTTTTATTAGAATTCTTAGACAAAATATGGAGTGGCAAAACTCATCGCAACATGCTTGAAGTGAATCAACTCGAGCAAAAAAAGAAGCTTTATAACCATTAACTAAATAAGAAACTCGGGGAACTAGTGGCGTTTAAGCAATTCTTTGTATCAGAACGTATTGTCCGATGTGGCGATGCAGTATTCTGCTTAACTGCTTGCGCACCTTAGGGGGCTTTGATCACTGTGAGTTGAACTTTGCTATTTGGTATAGCCTTTGGGTTATGCCATTAGACCATAAGCGCTTTTACACATTAGAAAGCGATGTGTTCTTCTGTTCTGCTCTAGATCATCGTTGCGAACCGAGCTTTTCCCAAGGGCGAAAAGGAACGCAATTCTCGGCTAGAATGTGAATTGTCCAACTGGTATAAATGTAATACGATAGTGGTTTATCCCTCGGTTTTGGTGAGGCGCCACTTTTGTACTTTGAATCAGCTCCCTTGTACCTCGCTGGCCTTTCGGGCCATGCCAATAACCGAGACACCTTCTCCGTGCTGAATATATATATTCCGCCCGAGTATTGTGTCTTCTTTCGTCTTCAGGTAGTCTCGGGACGCTACATTGGTGGCAGCGGAAAGCAAACCCGATCCCAAAGGACATGCATCCTGATTTTCCACTTCTGTGTGATAAGCCTTAGTGGAGCGGAAGAAGTACATATGCTACGGATGGGAGAATGGTGATGATTTCTAATAGAAGTGTTGATGTTGATGTCTACCTTCGGCGTCTCTCCCAGTCCCGTGTTCTGCAGAAAAGCTGTTAACAACTGAAGTGACAATAGCCGTGAACTATCTGAAAGTTTCGTGACGGATTTTCCCTACCATCCCCCATGGACCTGTTTTAAATCTCGTCCTCCCTTACTCAAATCTACTTCTAGGCCAGTGTTCCTACATCCGTCTATGGACACGCATGATGGCCTGCGCAATTCCCCGTCCTGAATCAAATCCCTAAACCGAACGAAACTCCAGATCCAGTCAAGCTGCCAAGAGGGATCAGTGACGTTGAGGTCAAGTATCCCCTCAGTTGCGCGCTAATTTGGTGACTGGCACAGTCGGATCGTGGGTGTTTCTTTACTGCACCGACTACGTTGTAATGACTGACGCGGGAGGTTGACCTGCGGGAGCGCCGGGGACGACGCTCAAAAGAGGGGGGAGGCTATGTAATACAATAGTGGTTTATCCCTCGGTTTTGGTGAGGCGCCACTTTTGTACTTTGAATCAGCTCCCTTGTACCTCGCTGGGTGGGCTGGCCTTTTGGATCATGCCATTAGCCGAGACACCTCCGTGCTGAATACATATATTCCGCCCGAGTATTGTGTCTTCTTTTGTCTTCAGGTAGTCTCGGGACGCTACATAAATGTAGAGGAGGTGCCACGCGTTCACATAATTAGTCTTTTTATACAGGCACTGTGAACGGCTCCGCAAAAAACTTTTACAGATGGTTCACGGCTAGCGTCGCTTCAGTTGTTAACGCCTTTCCTGTAGAACACGGGTCTGGGGCCGTCATGTCACCTCAGAGTTTGTCACCCCGCAGTTGAAATCAGGGTAGTTGTCCTTCATTGTCGAGTTCGCTTCCTGCTGCCGCAAAAGTGGCGCCTTGAGCCTTCCATGAAGACGAATTAAGTACTGCTCGGGCAGAGGTACATTGAGCATGCTCTAAGTATCTCGATGCCAAAACCAAAACGTCAGTGAAGAGTTGGAGCGTCATGCAATCTTAAATAAAGTTTTATTTTCCAAAAATAGATAAGATTTTTAATTCGCTTTGTTGCATTTACAAGCAGTTGCAAATTCGCAATAAGGTGGTCTTAATTACATGAGAATCCCACTTTTCTGTGAAAAAACTCGAGCCTTTTGAAAGGTGGATGAACTCATCGACCCTTCGTGCGCACAGCCATACATTCCCAAACTTTTACGAATTCATCGTTAAAAGTGGATTTTATTCATTTCTGAATCTCCGCTCCATCCCTCAGTGTTTTTATGATCCACCCATTCTCCCATCTCAAATGGATTCATCCATTTCGAATTACTCTATTCATTCCAAAGCCATTTACGTACCCCTGGCAAAACGACTGTTCTTCTCGTCCATATTTTAAGTCCCATTCATTTATTTCAGGTGGACCTATTTGCACCACGACTACCGCTTGAATCAACCGAAACGTTAAGAGTAATTTAAGCTCGTGGCGAAGTCTGCCGCTAATCAATTCCCTTCACTTGGACAGTTACCTCTTAATGGTAGGGAAGAGACTGCTTGTTCCATGTTCTTTGACCTAAGACCGCCTGTGGTTTTTCCACAGGAGGCCTTCCCATAATTTGACCTCCCCCTGAATCGGGTCAAATTACTCCTTTGCAGAAAGGGTTGAAAGGAACACCGTCGAATTTTACCACCATACCGTCCACGCTCCTAGTAGGTACAATCAAAGCCCCACGCCTTGTTGCTGATGTAGATCGATTGATCTGAAAAATAATTCCCTATAGCCCCTACTTCTACGAAGACTGCAAATCATCTTGATGAGTTAGTCAGAGGCATCGTCCACTGGTCCACAAAAGTTACCACGAATTGACAGACCGATCTCTGAACTATCCTTTCTGCCACTAATTTTCCCACTCGCTTCCCCTGTTCCATCCATACACCTGCGAAACCTAGAGGTAAAATACATCTCGATGGTTCCTTCATTTCCACGGATCTGAATATATGAGGGGGGGGGGAAGAAGTATACTATAAAACGGCAGTCACCTGATTCATCATTATTATCGTCAGGAAACGCAGGAAGAGAGAGAAATGGACAGGAGAGGGACCAGAAATGGAAAGGGAAGACAATTTCTGTACAGAAGTAAATAAACTCCTCATATCTACTGAATCCCATTGGCGTAATACTGGTAATTGTCGTATAGCCGAGTGGTTAGGGAGTTCAGGGACTGGCAGATCAGGTATTCCACGCAGCGAGTTATTTGCTCATCTGTCGAACCAAGCATGAATCGCTGTCGAAGAGCCTCCAAGGTTCGAGCACCGCCTCTTGAAACGAAACACGGCAAGTGGGGGTAGCCATTGTGGGTGATTTTAACCAGGAGCAGCAACTAGAAGGTGAAGAGAGCCCAAGCTGAGAGGTGTGCATTATTCCGTCAAACAACAAGGGTATCGATCATCCCAGCAATCGAAAATCAATTATCACCACTTCCTCACCCATCCACATCAATATATCCAGTTGACAAGGCTACGGTTCAATCACTTAAGCCATCAAAATAGCAATTAAAGATGCATATTCCAGACTCAATAATCAATCACTGCTTCTGTCCCCCCATTCGTCCACCAGCCATTCTTTCGTCCCCCTACACCTATTTCAGTCAACCTTGACAACTTCTCTCCATTCAATCCACCACACCTCCTCTCACCTCGTCCATGTGTTTTCGCGCTGCCAGGAGACCCTGCACAATGAGTGACTTGTAGTAGTTGAACATGTCGCCGCCCACTCCACCCATCAGTTCCACCTGTTCGGCAGTCAACTTGAAGGGGCTCGACTCAAAGCAGATATTACGACCCGGCGATGCCGACAACATGAAGCCGTAGTCAATGTGCACTACGTGGCCCTCCTTGTCTATTAGGATGTTGCCATTGTGTCTACGAAGTAAAGCAAAAAAATTCAAAGATCAATATTATTCAGTCTATCTGTCTTACCCATCTACCCAATCACTAAAGGAGCCTTCCAATAGTACCAAACTCTATCAGCCCTTCACCTGAAAGAGTCTGAAGTCTAGGCATCGTCATGAGGCGCCGCAAAAAGATTCCGCAGCAATGTCTACGTCCATAGAATTCTCGCTTCTAAAGTGAGACAGCCAGGAGTTCGGACATCTTCCCGGCATCAGAAAAAAAACGCACAAAAATCCCCCAACTCACCGATCCTTCACCTGAAGGAGGTATCCCACAAGACAATAGGCAGCACAGCTTTGTACAAAGTTTCGTTGCGCCGAAAGAAATCCCTCGGAGTTGGGTTGACCGTGCTCACGAATGATGTAGTCCCGAAGGGAGAGACGGGCATGACGTCGAATTTGATGGAAGGAGACGGTGTCCTTAACCACCTCGACAAGGCCACTGTCGGGTGATGTGATAACAATGTTCAGAGGACGCAGCCAGAGATTAAGATGGTAATCTGCCCAGATTTTCTGCATTAGGAGAGACGATAATGAGCTTTCCAATAGCCGCTACCCTACCTATGGAGGAGTCGTAAATAAGACCCAGCTCTGCCAATCGAAAAAAAAAACAGTTCGAAGTAACCTGATACATTAGAGCTGGTGAATAGATGAATGGAGGTTTAATAGATGCGTCCTAGAAGAAGGACAGATACGAAATGTATACGTCCGAGTTGAATGGACGTATCGGTTGAGGGGTGGGAGGTAACATTAATTCAGCAGTACATGGGAAGAGAAATCGGAGTTACGCAAATGAGTCCGTGACAGATGGATGTGAGTCAAACCACTTTCGTTCTTGTCGTGTGACCCCTATTTACGTGGAGTCTAGCGTAGCCTTGGTAACCCTTCGCAACAGCGCTTCCGGTTTGAGTCGGGAGAGGAGTTGGGAGCTTGAGCGATCAGCAAAGACTTTCAAACATCCATCCCTCCGTTCAAGACTTGACAACTGTCTCAAACATCTGGATGATGGATGGATATATCCACATTCCACTACACCTTCTCCTAATTCCTCCGGATTAACCACTACTGCCCTGGTCTCGGCTCGCGCCTGTCTCAACGCGGCAAGTGGAAATAGCATTTGTGTGGCCAACCACCAGCCGAAAGAGAATCATTCACACAGACAACGACCGCCGCTTGATTACTCTCTAGTGGCTTACCTTCAGATAACTCAGCAACTGATAAGCCAACTGTTCCTGCCTCAAATCATCTCCAACTTTAACAATCACTGCAGCCAATTGCCAACCTGGAAGGTGGCCCCATGGTGAGGCCTCCTGAATACGCCGCGCCTTCAATTCCCAGGGCTCTTTCAACACTGCGGCACTGGGGTCTTCTGGATCCAACTATTGTCAGAGAAAAGACAAGTTATCCTACTGTTTTACTTGTTGGTGTTGGGAATATTCGCTGAGAGTAGGAAAAACACACCTTGAAAGTTCTTTGTGGTTGGCACGCGGCGTTCTGTTCCAACCGACGACGAATATCCTTGGCATTCACGTAGCATACGGTTGGCTCATTCTTATCCCTCTGTTGGTGCTTACTTCTGGATGTGGATGTGGTAGTGGTTGGATCTTCATTAGAAGCGCCTGCAGCAACAACAGCGGGAGTTGCAGTCATGGAAGAAACACAAGCTCCAAGGCTCTCACCAGAATCCGTGGAAAAGAGACTGATTACATCGGGCGCTGCGAATGCTCTGGCGCTGGTGAGACACTTAAAATGAAAAAAAAAAGAGATGATTTTGGACACAGACCCGATACGCGGATGAGAAAAAGTTAGAAGCTAAAAAGTAGCTTTAAAAATTCAACCTTTTGTAGCGGCTCGTGCGCCTGGAAAAGCACTTCTTTATTTCCTGACTGTCCTCCTGCTATTATAATTGAGAATGCTCGGTCAGATGGCTTAAGTATTTCAAATGAAGCTGGAAACCAACTAGATACTCTATCGTTTAAAGAACAACTGAGAGCTTAACTATGAGATCCACAGAGCCATAGATAGATTCGGCAGATTGCCCCACCTTTCAATCACCTCTCCAAAAGCAGTAATTCAGAGAAGTTCTGTCGGTAAATTGCAGTGTTGAAAGACTTGTCGAACAAAAAAATCATAAGGTAGAAGAACGGATAATAGCCCATGGACGGGACTATTTGAAATTTAGCGTGTTTGGAACCACGATGAAATGTCTTGAAAGATGGACCAACGATTCTTCCTTTCTTCTTAAGACCTATTCTATAAACTCTGATTACTGCAGAAAATCAAAATGTTGGAAGTATTGTAGAATAGCCTGGAATACATAGTTTTCTGACGCACTCTTGAGCGGATCCGACAGTCAATGCGGCGTTCTACCACACCTTTCCCGATAGATATCTCGACGTAACGAAGTGGTCGAAGTATGAGACCTTCGGGATTTCCAAGACAGGCACGACACCTGGACATTTACAAGATGATGGGCAGGTGGAAAAACGAATCGCACTCTGACCTGACTACTGAAGGCTTTCACTAAAGACCCACAACCGGAAGACTGAAACTTTAGCCTCGGACGGTGCCCCCTTGTGTAGAGGGCTACAATCCAGACATCAACTGGCGTCCCACCATTCAAAATGCTCACAGGTAGTGAAATAGTGCCTTCCGATACTTTCTTATTAAAGAAGGAGGTAGCAATCTACTGTCTCCGAGGACGTACCGCGACTGAAAGAAGGAATTAGACGAACTTTCGATAAATAAAACACCCAAATCCACCCATTAAACTCACAGTTTTCGATGAAGCAGGAGTGAGTTGAGGGCTATTGATATCATAGGAATGGCAACTGGGGTTGTTACAGTGTGTGAATCCGGTGGCAGTTCCAGGACGTTGAGGCAAACGAGTGGTCATCACATCATTGCAGACTAGGATCTCCATGTAGACAAGATAGGGCACCTAACATTGGAGTTTGAAGGAAAAAAGATAATCAGTGAATAGGAGTCACAAAAGCCTCTCCAAATGTCCTTAGTTGGGCAAAATGACTTCTGTAGTAGATAAGACGAATAGACCTTTGGAAAGTATTTCATCATCTAGATGGCTCTATGAAAATGACTCAAAATATCAAAGAGCTGCAGGTTCTTGCGATCAGAAAGACGCTCTATCGTTCACTGAATGTCCTTACTTTGTTCTAAATAAAGATCTTCATGCAGAGGATACGGCAGGTTTCAAGTAAGAGTCATGGAGACATTTTCTCCTAGCATTCTCTCTCAGGATGGTATTGGGTACCAATAATATTGAAGGTTTGGAGAACATAATGGGAAACAGTGCCACAGACTGTTCAGAAACCTACCAGATGGTACAGCACTTTGAAGAATGACAATATTAAACAGACAGGCAAACTAAATCCATTAATCATCTGTACTTTCCACTGTTCGCTGAATATTTTTTTTCCAATATAGATCTTCACGTAGATGTCAATGGAGATGTAACCACTAAGAAGTAGACTTTCAACGATAAAGCACCTTATGCTAGAAGGTTCAAAATTGATCCAGCGGCCAGTAAAGGCGTTAAAATGCTTCATGACTTCCTTCTCTTTCTTCCTTCTTTCAATAAATCAAGGTTTTTGGATGAATGCCTTTCCTTCCCCTCAAACACATGCAGAATTCCAGCTACTCAACCATCCCTGATTCAGTACTGAGAACAGACTCAGTAGCCAGCAGCACCTTAAACCATTTCTTAAGTAACTTCTCCAATTTCTCCAAACTACATGTCATCATGTAGATGATAAAGAAGAAATTGGGCTATTAAAACTTAAGAATGGAAAGATCCAACTTTCCATTCAAAAAATATATGGAGGAGAGATACTTTAATGCTTTGATTACATGGTTAACTCTTCGTTTCGTTTGTATGTCCGTTGAGCGTTATGACCTTCGGGCCATCTCAGTAGCCGCCACAGCTCTTCCCTGCATTGGAAATATTTTTTACCCTGTTATTATGTCTCCTTCTGTCTTCAGGGCAGTATCAGGGCGCTACACTGGTGGCAGAGGGAAGCAAACTCAGGTCTAAGGGACAAATACACTGGTTCCATTAATGAGTACTAAACAGCATGGCAGAAGAACATATGTCGTGGATGGGGGAATCTGTGACAACCCCTAGCAGAAGAGTTGAAAGTGACGTCTACCTTCGACAACTATCCCAGTCCCATCTTCTCCAGGAACAATATTAACAGCTGAAGCGACAATAGCCGTATCGAACTGGAAAAGTTCGTTACGGAGCTGTCTACGGTACATGTATGAAGATGTCAATTAAGTGAAAACGCGATACTTCCTCCACCCCTCTACGGGCTGAACAGAATCCAGACAGGTGTATGGCCGAGCAGTACTGAAGTGTGGACAAAGTTGTAAGGATGCGCAGACGCGAAACTGTCTCTGCAAACCTATTTTATACGCCATGCCTTATTAAACCACTGCTTTTAGGCCAGTGTTTTTTACGACCTGTGATGGACATACGTGATGACGTACACGTTCCCCTTTTCCCAGATACAGATCTCAGACAGGACGAAACCCCAGATCCGGCAGAATTGCCAAGGGGAATCGGTGACAATGCAACCAGATATCTTCGCGGTTGCATGAAGATGCAATGACTGGCAGGGTTGGCCCGTGGGCGCTTTTCTTACAGCACTGACCACGTTATGATAGCCGACGCGAAGGGTTAACCAAGGGGAGCGCCCGAGACGACGCTCAAAAGGGGGGAAGGGTTGTGCAACGCTTTAATTATCTAGCTTTTCGGTTTAGGTACGCTGACACTGAAGAGAACGACCATTGTACTTCCACTCACCAGCATGGCCTGCAAGCTATGGTAGTAGCCTCCTTCCACACTTCTGTACGTTGGCAACACATTTTCTTCGTCTTCAGGAGGGACTCGGGGCACTATAATATCATGCTTGCCTAAATGACACTTATTCTTGCCTAATTTAGAGCTTCATACATGTAACAAGGAAATATTAAGTGTTGAAATCTAGGGCTAGAACGATTTGAATATTTACCAAATAGTGCCTAGAGTGGATTCGGCAGTCAGTAGAGCACTGAATTGTTTTCTTGTACCAAAAAGGAGTTCAATATCAACATCTTGCTTCCATGATATACTTTACTAAGGACGACAGAAAAGAGCTGACTGTCGAAAACTAGGGGATAGAAATGAGACGTTTTCAAATAAGACTTTTAGAGTAGATCCAACAACAGTTAAAATGTCACACCACTCCTCGAATATTCATCTTTTTTAAATAAAGCCCTTAGACAAGTAAAAATGGGAAATTACATCTCAAGTAGGCCTGATAATCAAGCACAAAGCTAACACAATCTTTTTTTTTCAAAGGACTGATAATAGATGATATAAATCCAGCGGCTAACCTTTTCAGCCGAATTAAGACACACTGCAGCAGACGGTGGTATTCGCAGTACAATGTGCTCTGTAGCCTCCACAGGTAACCAGACACGGGCTGGTAGGCCGAAATTCAACTTTCCAAGTTCTGCTTGCAGGTGACTGGCTGCATAATCAAGAAAAGAATACTACAGCTTTACGTGAAACACACTTCTACTGATATAATAGTGAGTAATACTTCTCTGTTCCTTCGAAGCAAATGGCGCAAGCCGATGGCTGATGGAGAGGAGAGCGTTCATAAAATCCCATTCACCTTGACAAAGCCCAATTAGTTTGTCTGACCTCAGCGATTGCTTCGAAGTCCCGCCCACAGTCATAGCGGCAGTAGCAGAGCCAGCATCGAGGAAATCCGTAAGGGCATCTTGTAGCCGTCCCGGCTGTTGATTCTGTCCTTCAGGAAGGCCAAGTAAGTCGGTTGAAAAGCTGGCCGGGGTGAAGGTGGTAGCACGGAGGAGGCGTGGACGTCGCAAATGGAGGTGAGTGTCCGAACGACTGGCCGCAGGGTCGTAAAATCGTGAGTGCATTTCGATCCACGCTTCGCTGCGGGTAGGTTTCGACCCCTGAAAAATTCAACTTAAGTAACCCAGTCTCTGAGATGGGAGATAAATCAACGTGAACTTTTAGCCCAAAACGGTTTGCGATTCGCAGCAGACTAAACCAGTTGGGACGAAACAGCCCCTTTAAGAGGGTAGATTTTTCCCGACGCATAAATGTGGACTCTCGTGAATAGAGGAAAACTGCCGTATCAATTCATTAGGCCATGATGGACTGACTGTCTATAGGCAAGTCTTTTTATTCTCCTACCATTTACCCTCCAGGCATTCGATAGCAGCTGCTCGGGAACTCAAACGGCTACACAGATATTAGCGTTGGCGAATTCGTTCCGAAAGGGCAAGAAACTCGACAGAGAAGCATGACTGAAACTGCAGGGGCAAACAAGGGAAGAGCAACCAAAATCGGGTCAAAATTTATGAACAACTCCACTGTAGAGCTTTGAATCATGTTCGTTGCCTCTTCACGGCTCGGCGGGACTTGACGATGTACCTTCCCTCAAATCGTTTCGTCGTTGAGTGACGGTTCCCTCTTTACAACAAGTGATTATCTACAGTTCGGTAATGATCAAACCAGAAGAGTCACCACGGTGAACACCAAGGTCAACCCTCGAATGGTAACCACTCTAATTGTTTGTTTGACTAGGCTACCGGCCTGCTGCTCTGATGCTAGTCATGCAGCCCTTCTCCACTCCAATAAAAAAATTTTCAGATTTGTATGGCTTACGAAAGTCGCACGATTAGGTTAAAGGTCAATTAACAAATCACTTTTTTCACCTCAAAACTCACGTCGAAAGCTTCTGGACTTTCAAGATCATCATCAACATCGGCGTGATTGCCCGCCTCGGAGCCAAAAGCGGTTCCACAAGAATCGTTGCTTGCCTCAGCCTGATCTCTTGATTGGGCTTCAGAACCATTAGCAAGACCTAGAACAAGGAGAATGATTGTAAGGAATGGTAAATGACAGCTTCCAATCAGTAAGCCGTGGAGGGTACATCAAGGTCGGTGGCTAGATCCTGAAATCACCAAAAGAGATCGGCATTCCATCGCTCACGTCCATCTACAGCTAGAAACTGGAACAACTTAGTCTTCGTTGAAGAAGTGTAGGGACGACTGTCACCTGAAATATCAAAATCTCTACGACGGAGGACACACATTGAAGCTACTCTTCATCGTTCGAAGTTAACCCAATCCTTATCGCAGATGACTTGGTGGCTGATTTGAAAATTTTTGAAAGCATGTTCCCGGTTCAAAAGCAGACGCATTCCATCTTCAAAGACTGGCTGGAAGGCTTGCATTTCAAGGGTGGAATTTGAATTATAACCGAATCAAACTTCTTAGGAGCGTTGTCGCTAAGCTTTCAGATGCACCTTCCATTAGAGAAGCCTGAGTCGCATTCCCTCTTGGTAAAGGAGAAACCTCCCTTCGTTTCTAGATACTAAATGACGTCCTGATGATCAAGTTGAGATACCTCCTCGAATGTTAGAGAGATGCCAAGGGTAAATTCGCTTCAAGAAACCTAGGCAGAAAGCAGAAGGATTCTTGAAATATTCCCAGATTCTAAGCTTAGGTTAAAGTCCTTCCATTCAAGGACTTCCTAAATGGATGACAAGACCGAAGATAAGTTGATCCAGGCCACCTAGGCGATGGCAAGTTCAAGTGAGTACATCTCATTAAGGAAGTTGATTTTTCCACCAAGAGAGGAACATTTCAGCAGAAACATCTTCAAATTCCATAACGGGATTGGTCATTTGGCTGGCCCTCAAAAGCTGGTTAGGTTCCAGCCGCAAAACTACTGCAAAAAGAACAATATGAACCGAGTTAAAGACTTGGAATATAACGATCTTTTTAAGTGGAGCAGAAAAGGCCTTAAATCCTTCAATACTTTAGGTCCATATTGAAGCGTCTGGAAGGCTGGAGCTCATCCTCACAAATATCACCTCACTTTGTCGCTTTCATCCCAGAAACAAACCTCGACCAACTCAAAGATTGACTCAACCTAAATTCATCTTCTTTCTTCCAAAAGATGGAATGGTATTCCAACAATCCCGATTAATTTAAGTCGCTTGCATTTGATACAAGGTTGGAGAGCGAGAGGGCGCACTCTTCAATCCAATCTGCTTTAAGTTGGCAGCATCAAGAGCAATTCTACCAGTTTCGCACAGATGTCTGCCTCATCTTGAGTGATTTGTGGTTCCTGAGCCAATACGAGAACGAGGTTTCTTGCACCGAGAATTGAAGCAAAGAGTGAATAATGTGCGAAAATCACACTCACACACAGGAGAAAAAACCTGTTAATCAATTTTAGCACCGTGGTGAGTGATTCATGCGGTCCAGGCGACCCGTGCGATAGGTGCCAGTAAGGGAGAGAGAGGCGGGGGAAGAAGGGGAGTACGAATTGCAACAGGCATTTCAGCAGCCTCGCAAATAAGTGAATACCTGTCTTTAACAAGTAATCTTCATGAGAAAAACGATGACAATTTGCGTTGTGTAGGTGGTGATCCGTTACGCCAAGTTCACAGCACCCTCGCCGTGTAAGCATGAAATCGTTTTGACCACCCGTTTTCCTAGGTTTTGTGGGCTAAAGCACTTCGTGATTTCATCACCAACTCGATTTAAGACTTCATAAATATGTTCGGCGGGAGATGGATGGATGGATCTCCCACATAAACCATTCCCCCTCTCCCCCGCTTTGGTGTTGCCTCAGATCTGTCTCCCAAATGGCGCGTGGTTAGTTCATTTGTGTGATCAAGAATTGACCAAAATCAGCTGTCAGAAGGAAACCTCTCGCTTAAACGTGCTGTGTAATGCATCCAGTTCGTTGCTATCGCCTCAAAAAAGTGTTTATTCCTCCTTCGACCTAATTCACTCCGATATTCACGTTGTGTTTTGTCCCACACCTAAGCACACAATGCACTCATGGACTGCTTGTTGGAAATTCCCCCCAAAGGACGATTACTGCTGATCTCCAAGCATGCCAACAAAAAAACATCAAAAAGTTCGCTACCAGGGTCCATCAGAGGAAAACCGATATTTTGCTGTCTTAATATGACGTCTACACTGGTATCACCGAAATGATTGATTCAAACGATGCTCAACAATGCAAAAAAAGTGTAATTAGCCCCCTCCCCTCCAGGACAAAAATAAGCTACACCTTCTTTGTTCTTTTTAGCTCAAGGAATTTGTTCGCAACACACGACCTGATGAAGAGTGCAAGAAAGGGTATCAGGCCACTACACCCACGTATATATACGCAAGTGGCAAAATGCCAAGCCTTGCTGCTACAACTACCCACCTTACTCCTCCTCCCCCTCATTATCATCACCGTCATAAGAAGTCACACTACGGTATGATAACAGACGATAAATAAAGTGCAAGGTATCTAGGCGAGGCACAAATCCAGAGAGTCATGTGAAATGCCACACGAGATGATAAGGAGAAGGTTGATGAAATCGCTTTTACTTTTTCACTTTTCTGTACAAGACTGAAGGAGGCAGTAGAAAAGAACTCGTATAACACATTCACCACGAGGAATCTCGCAGGCTAATAATAATACTGCACGCTATTAATTCCTTCTCTAGCCCTCAGTTAAGTAAGGTAAAGTCAAAATCCTCTGAAAAGAATCAACACTCTTGGTGCCCAAGATTATAAAATCAAAATCTTCTTGAGAATGTCTTAACAATCCCGAGAAATGACATGAATCAACTGCAGTGACTTTTTTACTCCGCCCCTCCTTTTCTTCGATGGCCAAGAGATCAGATATGCCACTTCATAAACCAAACGATGAAGCCAAAAAAATTTTGGATTCTTCTAGAAGGATATTCAACCTAGTGGTACATTGGTTCACTACCGGATTTTTCCCTTCATAATGCCCGAATGACATTTCAGGTATGTGAGACTGGAATTTACGGGAATTGCTCCAACAGTGAAGCAGTGTAATTTCGAGAGTCCATGGAAGGGCTTCATATCAAGCGTGAAGGCTTTAGCAGTAAACATGCGCGATTGATTCAGTATTTCGATTTTTGCATCCACGAAGTCAAAGCAATACTTCACGGATCCGAAATAATTTCCGTTCCAGGAGCGATATTTCTTCGATTCACTCCAGCAACGATGTGGAATTCAGGACTTTGCCAAAATGGTTTCAGCGGCAGAATATGGGCATCCACGGCTTACGTTCCTTCAAATGAAACGAAAAGATAACTTCCAAGCGATGCAGATTGATAGTTTGCGGTCCTGAAATGTACATTTCTGGAATTCACTTTAACCGATTCCAGGAGGAAACAAAACCTACAACGACAGTTTGATTATTGTTAGCAATAGCATGGATAAAATTCCTAAGAATTTCATCGATGATGAGTCTCCAAAAGGTTTTATTTATGAACATATATTTCACATCAGACATCGTTTGATGCATTGCCTTCGATTTTCACTCTTCGTAAGCCGCGATTCCCCTTCGAAAAGGCTTCAAATAAGATCTAGAGTCTCATTCAAATGGCATTTGTAGTTCAAGGAACTTGCTTCAACTGTTGAAATGGAGGTAGACCAAAGGGCACATTAACCAACCAGTTGGGTAGCTGGATGGGTTCCATTTCAACAACCGCAATAAACCCTTCATCGGTTTCAAGTAAGAGACAGGTACTGGGTATAAAAAAGTGCACAGAAGCAAAAGCATACCAATGACTTACAAGTGAGATCGGATGCGGCCCTCTTGTGCTTCATCAATTGATCACCTTTTTCCACAGCCGTAGATGTCTGCGTCTGCTTGACTATCGACGGTTCATTGTCTCTGGAAAAAAGTGAAAAAGAAGAGTAAGCAAACGAGGAAAAGGAAGACCAATGACAGAACGACTAGAGAGAAAAAGACTTACTCCATTTCCAAGCAATTCAGACTGCCATTTAAACTGCCACTACTACCACTTTCCTCCTCTACCTCCTTCGCCACCTCTATGGTGGACGAGGAGGTGGTTGTCGTTACCGCGGGGATAAAATCGATAGGGTAGGACTTCAACGGCTTAAAAGGGCTATTTGGCGTTGAATGAGAGGAAATGTTGTGCGCGTCCACTAGCCAGGCCATTTCGGTGGCGAAACGAAGCGAGGTCTTAACTCTGAAGAAGGGATAAAAACAGCTACACTGCTAAGTATTAACAGATTTCACAATTTACAAATACTACCAATGAGATCCCAATGGCATCAGATGGAGAGATGTCTCTGTAGCATATAACATTTTTGTTAAAGCTACGAAGTTTGACCGATATTTAAAGCTCTGCTGCTTCTCTCAAACAAACAGATGTGGAATATCGCCCAGCCTGCAGCGACGATTCCCGACTAGATGGCGTCAACCGAGTTTAAGAGGGCACATTAACCCTACTGAAGTGCATTGCTACTGTCAGATTTAAAAAGCATCATCGTAGCTACCCCATTTTGTCTCACAGTTAAGAGAGCTTCGTCCAACCACTATTGCAATGATCTGCGCAGATGAATATTCGTAGGCAACACCGAAGACAACGATGAAATAGGACCGCACTCGTAAAAAGAAGAAAAACCGACCCAAGAGCCAAACTATTAACGAATGTTGAGTTCTGGGTCCTGAGAACGACAAAAAAAATGTGGCAGTAACTTTAACAGCAAAGTCATACAAAGTCAAATCACCCATTCCAAATGATACAGGTAACCACCGTAAAACTGACCTCCCAGAGGAAATAAAGTCCATAACTGAAACAAATAATACAGAAAATGTTTACCAAACAACCAATCAGATAACTGGTAGATGAAAAGCACCACGTTCGAAACCACACCAACACACACATCATAACTTAATGGACAAAACAGTAACAATGAGAAGAATGACAACGACGCAAGCCCCCCTGGCAATTTCACCCTAGTAAAACACTCCATGTCTAGAGGTAGACAGCTGAATTCAACCCCACTACCAGCTACAGCCAACATCTCTCACACTTCCAGTCCCCTACTTACCACTCTGCACCTGATCACGCCATTGTCGAGCACCGAGACACCCTACTCATCACCTGGACACATATGAGGGCAATAGGAGGGGTGGACGCTCGACACCATTTTCCACATACCGCCTTCCCTCCTCCAACCCCCACCTACCTACCCACCTGCCTTCCATCCCTACCTATCCACAGCACAGCTTCTCTCTCCTATCACCCATGCAGGATGTGGAGTGAGGTCCCCAGTTGTCCCGCCAAACTAACAATGGGCATTCACTCCAATCCATTCCCTGGTACTGCCTTTTCCTTGCTCATCAACTTCTTCCTCCACTTCTTCAAGTCTTCTATCACCATTGGGTACACCTTGACCTCACTGCTTCACCTTCAGCAAGTGGGCCAATCATTCGTGAACTCTGCTGCCACCGTGCAGTCTACCGTGCTCGCACAAAGCAAGCACAGACTTCCACCACCCAGTCAGTCAGTCAGTGGCATCAATAGTGCGCGACACGTTTCTAGGCGTAACTGAAGTGAGGGTGAAGTTGCAGGTGATGGCACACGTCAAGGTGTAGGCGCATGTGTGGGGGTAAACCACTTGTCTTATCACAACCCACATTCAAAATGACTGCACACGCTTCACACGCTTGTCTCCATATGCTACCAACAGAGGCCACACGACATTCCTCACTAGTATCAACAAGTCAGCGTCATCCTCAGCGTCATCAACCTTAAGCACTGAGACACTGCTCTGCAAGCCACGTTGCCCCACCACTCCACCTTCTCTCACTGCTCCAACACACACTTTGCGAGACTGACTCCTCGACAACTCCGCAACACTTCCAACCCCTTTCAAAGGCTAAACAACTTTCTAATCAATTCCATCATACTCAATCGCCACTTCACCCTACAACGGTCGGACTTGAGAGAAAACTGCCGACGGAGGGAGAAAACAATGTGGGGCGAGGGAGAGAGAGAACAGGCGACAGCCCAATAACCAGGAATATCCTCTGCAGCGCCGCACTGTACCCTGTCGTAACAGACCGTATCTGCAGATTGACGCATGTGCATGCCCCATAAACGAATACATGCATTGTACAAGTGCCATTCCACAAGAAATGTCATTTGCAACGAAGTGCACCGATAATGGCACCAACTTTCTACTCATCTGATCCCTCCCACCTACTCCACTCTTCCAACTCTATCAGTCGCCAAGGAAGGCTCACTCCACTCCACAATCTGATTTCCGCTTCATCCTCGCCATCTCTGCGATTCCTCAAAACAGCCCACTTTGACACCCACCTTGGTCAATCATTTGGGACGCCTCACAACCTTACCACCTCCACCCACCCACCTACCTACCTTCTCCCTCCCCAACCCATACACAATCTCAATGCCACACTTTGCGCACTGTTTCCATTCACTATTCGGTGAGATTTTAGTGCAACCACAATGGAAACGGGACATTCAAAAGCAAAATGGGAAACAACTGCAGCCTATGGTCGCTTTCAAAGGCTATTATTCCAGCAACTGCGACAAACCGGTCACGAGAATATCACACCTTCAAAGTGCACCTTTAACAGTGTAGCCCCAGCCTTCCACATGGTCGTTCATATACTCTTCCACAAGAATGTGAAACTTCAGAAGGTTTGAGGATGTTGCTACCCTCCCTCAATGAGTCACAATGTTCCAAGCGTCACAGATGCGATTTTCAAGTTGACTTCAACACTCACAAATCTACCCGATGAACACTTTTCTCCACTACATTTGGAGACGATTCACCCACCAAGATGGTTGGTTGACTGGCCAACTCATGAGACCAGGATGGATGTAGTGATGGGAGAGGGAACACCCCATCTCTCCCATGCATTGTGCATCTCAACAATTTCCCGTGTATCCACAGAATAGATGTCTCCTCTGGAAGTTGACTGAACATCTACTCTCACCACATTCAACGTCAAAAAACACATTTCGTACACCCACTTACAGCCTCCTTCACAGCCTCCTCAATACTCAACCCTTCTGATCATCTTGCCACCGATGGCCTTCCAGCTTCTCACAATTCCCTCAACGTGCACCCCAATTATAAGCTCATTCATGAGCGTCTCTGCTTCACATCAAGCATTCCACGTGCTCTACATATGCACCGCCGAATAACGTGGTTGTCTTTACAGAAAATTTTGAGCACCCACGAAACACCACAGTAAGAGCTTCAACAGAACAAGTAATCTCCGCAGACAGGGAAATTCCATTCTGTCTAGGAAAAGTTCTAAGTTGAACCTGGATTAGACAAGGCTATAGCGGGATCAGGCGAAAGCAACTCCTCTGGAAATCTATCCACTCCCAGCTTCTATCCTCACAACTTCGAAATAGCCTTACAGAGGTGGACTTTGAACTGACAACCCTCCAGACCTACAGCGTGGACACAGGAAAGGGAGGAACATGACTTACCGTTGGAAGAGGTAGGGGAGAAGAGACCGAGTAGGTCCATCGCATTGCAAAAAAAGGACGACGAGTTGGGGAAGGTAGAAATCCACGTCTTCCGTTCGATACTCGAACAAACGCTTAGCTACTAGGGAATAGCAAAACGTTTGGAAATGAAAAGCCGTTGGAGGAAGTACGGACAGTAGTGAATTTAAGAAAATGTTCAAATGTCACCAGTAAATCACAGCACTCTAGGCATCGAAAACTTTCGCTGCTAGGGTATCAGAAAAAAAACAATCAACACAAAATGCACTTTTTCTCAGTTCAGAGATATCCCATTTTCACTTTATTGTTTTACAACCTAACGAATCTGCTATGAATATGCGAATTCGTGCAAACGGTTACAAAAGTTTGAAAATGGGGCGATTTTAATCTGAAGGAGCCTATGGAAAGTCAACGTGCTTTAAACTGGGTTTCAAACCCGACAACCCCTCTCCTTGAATCGAGACCATCAAGTATTTCCCCCATAACAAATCTTTTCAAAAAGCCTTTAAACTAAATTGTTCCCAGCCAGCATTTGAGAGTGGAATTCGACAGTCCTTGAATTGGGGAACCACTTTCAGAAATCATTCAAGTCACTCAATTGAAGATTCTGACTGAAACAGTGGTTTCTGTAAAGTTCCTCTGTCAAATACTTTGGATTATTTATTTGACTAACTTCCACAGGGGCTCTGGAATTCCTTGAGACTACAGTTTATCAACGAAAGTAGCATCTGTCCGATGTTTTTTTAGTGGAGATTTACGATTTTCTAGGATGACAACTTTTTAGCTCGACAAACCGATTCAATGTCGCTAGTGGTGGCAGTGCCGTCTGGAGGTCCATTTCGTATTGCGACGATATTCTGACCCCATAATATCATAGGGCTTATTGAATTGGCTGAATATAAAGGAAACTTCTGGAAATTTAACAATAAGGAATAAATAGAGCTAATTTTTTTGAAATGATAACGACACAACATCATGGCATCAATTGAAATGTGAGTATAGGCATTTTCAACACAAGCACATCGATGTTGATGTGGATGATAACCCTAGGCAACAGATTTAAGTTTTGATCTTTTGAACTTTGTTGGCATTACAGACCGAAAAAATAAAATTTTCATTTTCTTTTAACGGGCAATTTCAAGCCAATCTTGGTCACATGAACCATGTGCTATGTGGGAGACAGATATGACCTAGAACCGAAAGAGCAGCAGGTAAATTGGGTGAGCTAAGACACCTATGGTGAGAGAAAGGGAGATGAGAAGAGGTGGATGCATTCTTTTTCTGGGCGATGCACTAGGAAGAAGCAGTTACGAAGAATAAAGTAGTAGCGGTACTTTCAGATCATGGAACGCAAATATGATAGAAACGGACTCACCAAATTTAAATATACTTGTATTAACAGAGGCACTAAGGTTTGTCATGGCCCATTCAAGACATCAAATTGGTAAAGAAGCTTGCCGGATAAACAGGTTTTGGATAGACATGGTCAGAAATATGGATTTGAAATTGTTGAGGACTGAAACTTTTTGAGACCTTTGAGCCTCAGCAGTAAGCTTGGGGCCAATAACATAAACTCGGGGATTTCAAATCGTCAGTTATAGAAAACAGCTCGTCCATCGTCTACCACTAAGACGCTTGAAAAATCGAGCAATTAGGGTGTTGTTTAGATAACCAAATGAAAGTATGAGACAAATGAGCTGTGTGACGCACAGGAGACAGAATAGAGCTTCGATCAAGGCGATGATGAATAACATAGATGAAATGGAAGCATTTCTATGATGAAAGGAAGCAGTAGTGCTTATTTAACCTAGAGTTGACAGGAAGTCATTTACTCCCATATAATAGCTCCATCTTTCTCAACAATTACCAAATCTTTTTGAAGGATTGGGGAATAAAATAGTCAGATGTTAACGAGTAAAAAACATGAACGTAGTAATCGCTTTAAAATCTGTAGGCCAAAAATGAAATAAACCAGGGGAAAGAAAAATAACTATAAATTCTGCAGAGGCCAATGAATGCAAGCGTTTAACAACTCACCCAAGTAGTCCCAATCTTTTGAAGCAGAGCCCTCGTTAAGATAGTGCACAGCATGGTGCACGGAGAATACCGAACTGTTAATGAAACGCATAAGAGAAGAGAAGGGTGGAGAACTAGAGAGGATAAGGGAGTTCGTATTCGATGTGGAATTCGCAAGAGCAGCCTGCCCAGGACAGGCCCGACCAATCATCGATGGAGATAGTGGCAACTTTGGTAAGTGGACCTCCGTATTCTGCTCATCCATCTCGGCAGCTAAGGGTTTAAAAGTTTTGACGGAATGCGGAGAGTGCAAACTGTTCATAATGAGAAGTGATGGAGCCTGGTGTGTCTAGGAAAATAAAATGGAATTAACTATAAGAGATGGAACCATAGCGTCGACTAGACACCTTCAAAGCTAAAGTGATGATGATGGCAAAAGAAATAATAAATTACCGAGGTAAAAAGGACAAGGGCACATCCAATCACAAAAATTGCGAATATAGCGATCACAAGCAGGCAATTAGCAATACACCAATTTAACGCAAATAGAAAGGTGAAAGCTGCAAAAAATGCATGTAGACCCCTTGGGGCCAAATTCGTCAAAATCAGAGGAAAATTACGAACGCGGGAAGTAGTGGACAAAACGTCCAACAGATGCTAATTGTTAGATAAAGGGGAAGCATTGAAAGGTGAGTCAAATAAAAAATTTGCGTGCAACATACCATGAGGAGATGTGACGGGAGTCAAGCTCGTAGAAAGGAAAAGCCGCAGACCTAACAAAGAGGGCGCCGGGGGCCCCCAGACCGACTCCTTAAAAATGCCGCGAATAAAAAATTTTGTTCTTGCCGCGACCGGATTCTTTGCTTTAATTTGTAAGCATTAAAAAATTGTCAAAATTTGTGTTACTTATGCTTTTTAGATTTTTTGTGATTTTTAAATTACATCATGCTGAAGTTATTCCAGCATTCTGGCAAGGGCTTGTGTCGAGTAATTTATTATCTTTTTCAATGAACCAAAGCATATAACTTCGCATATCCGCTTGCATAACTGTGGCTTTGCCAAATTACTAATGCAGATTTAAATTGACGCCACTTTTGCTAATAGTGTGTCATGACGAAATGGTGGGTTTCGTTTTACTTCCGACTTTTGCTTTATATCTCTGCAAAAGAGGAGTTAAGAAAGTATCTGAGCCGCAGTTTATGAATAATATTGCAATACTACAACTCAATTTGTTTCTTTTTACTTTTTCTTTCCAATATTTTACGCCTTAGAGACAAATAAATTTTGTGGAGTCCCGATACTTTCGTGAAGGCAAAATTAGATAAATTACTCTGGCAGAATATGTATATTCGGCACAGAGAAGGTATTTGGGTTATTGGCATGGCCCGAAGGCCGCCCATCTGGCATAGTGCAAAGGCCAAGTCAATAGTCGCTCTTCTAATAACCGAGAGATAAACATCCATCGTATTGCAGTGTCTTTTTAAAGAATTATGGAAGAAAAAATCAGCAAGTACGAAATTCATGTATTTCACCTACCATCTATTAAAAACTGAAATTTTATTATTTGTTTTTTTGCCCTTATGTGGTTACTGCCACATTTGGCGCATCTTTTTATTTGGCATACCTGTTGCATTTAGCTTTCAGGTTTGCATGCCACTGGCACTAAATTGTCCCAAATTCTTCCGTATTAAATGATAGTCTCGCTCGATTTACGGAATCTTGAGCTTTTAGTTCTTTATATCTTGACTCCTATCTGCGTATTTTCAAACTGCAAGTTTTATTTTAACCACCCTTTTGCAAACAACTGGAGAAGGATAATTTATGGGCACGTTGTGTTACAGACCATCTAAAAATACAGTCTGAAGTACTTTGTGCAACAAATCTTCTGAAGGATTTTTGTTTACGCCTATAAAGATGGTTTGCAGCACATAAAACACCCATATATCCTGAATTGAGGGGGCGTAGAACATGGAGCATTCATTCCAAGTAAACGAGTTTTTCTTCCCAAATAGATTAATTCAAATAATTGTTTTCGGAGAGGCGGATGTACGTGAAAAATACCTCAGGTTACAGATTCGTTTACACGACAAGAACCATGGCTAATAGAGGTCGTAATCATCTAAGCGGAAAGAGGCAACATGAATAACCCTCCCAGTAAATAAAAAGAGACTCGAATTGTGCAGCCGTAGTGATAGGATATCTTCTCCGACATGATGAGTCCCAAGACCACGATAAAGGTGTCCACCATCAAAGTAAGCATTGGTTCCCTTCCATTAGACTGACGTGGACATTAATTCCTTGGTCGCTTAGCTACATTGTAGATACTTACACAACATCATTCAAGTCCAAAAATGTCGGTCGAATAACTTTGAGCCTTTATTGGTTTTTAATTAGCAAGAAGATGGTGCTTTGTGGTTGATTGAAATACTTCATCATAGTTCCGTACAATATCACATGATATACTGTAGCGCACCGAGTCTTTCAGATGGGCTGAGGCTCAGCGGCCTAGCGGAGGTACCATCTGCAGATACTCAAGTACCCGTACAATCAAAAGAGGAGTTAAACAAACTATTAAAACGTTATGAGATGTCGTTTAGACGCTGTTAACTCGATAAAACTTGATATTGACAATTTTCTAAGTTGTAATTGTATACTCAAGCTTTCCATAACATGATCAAGTTTTTTAAGCAAAAGGGTTTGAAAGGTGTCTAAAAATTTTCATTACTGAGTCGGGAACTAAAGATTTAAAAGTTGAGAAGCCTTTGTTTACTTGCCTTTGAATATTAACATGGCATCGCGCTATTCCCAAAGGCTTTTGCAATTGTGCGTCAAATTAGTTGGTCTCTTTATTTAACCAATGTATTTGCTTGTTATGTGGCTAGCTTTTGCTTGTGTATACCTTTGAGGTGACAAGAAGCGGGTAGATTACACCAGCATTGCGACAGAGCCGAAGCTACTACTTTCTAAGGAGGAGGAAAGTACTGACTCCATTCTTCATCCTCCAGCCACCCTTTTCCATTCAAGGATCTAAAACCGGAGGTAGAGGAGAATGGCAACGGAAATATTGCAGTTGGTGTGATAATGTCTCCGAGTCAGTCATAAAAGGTTATAAAAACATCAAGCCGGCAAACGAATGATCAGCAAACCAAAACACGGGACTCACTACTATTTGCCATTTCTTAACCTCGTCGCTTACATGAATTAGTAGTATATGCCTGCTGAAGATATATTCCTAAGCAATTTCTCAATCTCTTATGTCATTACATCCGTAACGAGGGCGAAAGGGGCGCTTTTATTAGCAGCTTCGTCAAGAGCATTTGCTTACCCGTGATTACTCTAGGAATACGCAAAAAGTGACAAAGTGTCTTCTAAAATCCATGGAAATTCCTACAAGACAGCCTGTCATTAATGGTAAGTTTTGAAGAAACCTTAAGAATTTCTATTAAAAGGGAGGCTAAAAATACGTAAGTCGATCAATCCTGTTTTTTACCTAAATACCCTCTCTGATTCCCATCCAAATTCAAGTCATCGTGAAGCCCCAACACGCAAAAATATCCAGCGAAACTGACATTTTTTCACTATCAAAGCAATCGCAGAAAGGAAGAAGTTGAACAGATTTCCTTAATCCCAAGATTTTCGATTCTGTAGCAATAAACTCTTTAAATAATATATTATTTTGATTATAAATTATGAATGGCTGTTGCTAAATCGATGGTAGGTCACAGTCTTGTAGGCTATTACAAAATAACAGGGATGCAACAGAGACAGGCAACTTACCAGAGGCACGCTTTCTCCACCAGCATTAGATAATTTGTTTTACCAGTGGGTCTAAGAAAGAGAATATTTTTCGACCAAAATTCATTTCTTGTTGTCTTTCAGAAGAAACTTAACAATGGAGAATTATGAGGTCATTTGCAAATGTACATCACTAGTTCAAAGTATGCCCATTGCAATTTGTGGGTTAGTAATAGTACATGCCGGCAATCTAGATGGAATTCTGGAAGCACACTCAGCAGAGACTTATCTAGATTGCGGGCCAAGAGATGGTCCAAGCTATTCAGCAAGCACTTTCCAAATACCGATATCTTCTGGGGAAGGGTTCAATTGAAAGCAGCATGAAAGAAAAAACCACAACATCTCCAGACTACATTTCAAATGAGTGTTTTTACTGCATTCTTTAAGGAATGTCTCCAATTTGCTCATGCCGGGCCCCACTTTACGCATTCCTGACAGACTTGGATGGCTGCAAGAAACCGAGGTGGCTCCCTTAGCTAGGCCATTTCTTGTGCTTTTTTGCCAATTAACTCATCTGCAGTAGACGCCCACATAATCGAAGCATGAATTTTGGTGATTACTCGACGAATTGAGGTTTGCGGTTCACTTAATTTTTTGCCACTTGTTGTTCCTCAAATCGCAGTGAGGCATGTCAGCATGAAATAAGGTTTGTCCTGGTGTGAAGCACTTGGTCGAAACCCAGAGCAAGGTTGCTGCAGGCAGTGGCAACGACTGGTGATTGGAGGCAGTGACATCCAATTACTCATGAGTTATTATCCACCTAATAAGAATCTGAACGAATTTTCTCAGCACTTTTGAAGTGCACGCCAATCCCCCCAATTAACGAAGGAAACGTTTGTTAGAATCTAACCAAAGAGGTTTGAATCTGCGCCCCTCTCCTCCCATCAAAGTCCTTTAAATCCCAAAGTGGAACACGCGTTCAACCATTTCTCACACTTTATTTCCACACTCAAACTAGGCCTTCGCAATAATCGCCTGAACGATCAAACAAAAGCCATGGCAAATGAGGGAGAAGTTAGGTGACCCTGCTAGTCACCCCCTTCTTATTCCTGAGTTGGGAATCAAAGATCAGAAACAAATATTTTGTGAAACTTGAATACAAATTTAGCTTTACACATCCAGAAGACTTTTGTGTCGGCACGACGAATGTCGTCGGTCTCCAGGCGTACCTCCCGAAGAAAGGTCACTCATCTTCGGATGATTTATCTCTGAAGGACCGTGCCAACTCAGCAACCTAGGATTGGATTAAAGCCATGGAAGTGCCTATTTTATCATCGGCTTAGCACTTGTTTGGTTTACCCGACAGTTGTTGCCTTTTAGTGGTGTTGATTCCAGATGCGTATTTGTGTGTCCTCTAAAACGTGAAGCTGGGTTAGTTCAATCTTTGGCACTTTATTCAGTCATCTGCCTTGACATTTAACAACCATCGTGGTTAATTTTATGGTCTTTAGCAAGAGAAAAGAAACACTCTTTCCACATCTTTAGGACTCTAAGACAATCTATTGGGGCTCATTTGTTTGTGCTAACCTGTTCATGGAGTGAGAACCGGCAGTATTTGTTGATTGAGGACAGGTTGGATGCAAGAACTTTGAACTATCATTCGCACATGCCTTCAAACGTCTGACTACAAGTTTAGACGCTTTTTCACGACAGTTGGGAAGAATAGCTGACTTCTTCCTACTGCCAGTGTCGCAATAGCGAAATCTAGAGTTCAAGTTTGAAGTGAGGGAGTGTAATCACCATCTTTTACGGTAATTACACAACCTTATTTTATGCAAAATCTAACGATAAAGTTTGACTTCTTGCATTCCAAGAACTGCCTGTAATCATGTCCTATTAATCGCTCTAAAGGGATACTGAAATTTGGAACCAGTGGGGAGGGTAGTAGCGCTTTAAGTTGAAAAAAAAGCGAACTGATTCTCCGGGAGATGCTTTACATTTGATAAATAAACAGTGAGAACTAATGATTTGACCCCTTAAACCAGTCTACCGTGTCAAAGGGTAGCCGCTCTTCCCCTGTAAGTGTTAAAACAAACAACCCTGTTCAGAAACGGGAAAGCTTCGTAGTCTGCGAGTAGAATTCACTTATATTTAGGCCCCTCTTTCGGAAAATATAACAGAAGAAAGAATAAATGTTGTCTAGAATTCATTTGTCATCTCTCGAGTACTCGTTGTTTGTAGAGCGGTCTACTTATATGCACATGAGTAGCGTTAATGCCAAACTGGGACATTCTTACATTAACTGGACGAACCAATAAAGATATCTCCTTCCTTTAAGTATTTTTACTTTTTCTAACCAGCAGAAATATTTTTTGCTTAAGCGTGCCCATTAATCTAAAATCCCAGTGATTGAAGATTTTCTAGTCGCACCTCCATTATGGTAGTCAAGCAATGAATAGTTTAAAAGCTGGGAATATTTTCGTGGTCTTCTAAAAAAACTGAGGGCAAAAAAAAATATGTTTATCAGTGGAGTAGATGAATTTTAATTCACAAGCTGTTTAAGTGGTCTGTTTAACTGGACAAGTTCTTCAGTCTCTGCCATGGGAAGGCAACACTACATTCTATGCTGATGTGCCCTATTGCGTCTTTCGGAAAGACTCAAAGTTTGACTTTGATGGCAGCAGTCGACAAATCTGGCTTGACAAGCATAATACTCCAAATTCTCTGCTTGGTTGCCGAACCTTTACGGCACGGGATAAGGTACATAATGCGGGTAGCTGGATAAGAGTGGAGACTCTACGGGAAGGACTACCAAGGTCAGGATTCACTTGTGCTATTCACTCCAACATTGTGCTCTGAAATAAGAAGTGAAGCAGTCCTGATGGAGTTTAAAAACGTCCATTACCTTGAGGATTAAGCAGATCAAACCTGTCGGAGATATCAAAACGCTCTTTTCCCATGTTGATATTACTATAACCAAATCAAGACTCTGCGGAAGGAGGACACCTGTAAAGTACAGCTGATTTGGCGGAGAACCACCACAACAAAAGTTTTACAGGCTAACCGCTAATACAATGGGACCAGATTTCAAGTGATTTTCAAAGAAGTGTTTACTTGATCCCCCGAATAAAAGAATTCATGTCTGGTGTCGCCTCTAGCTGATTAGTACTAAGAAAAGCGACTGATGTGTAAGTTGTGGTTACTGTTAAACATCCTCCAGCTTCTAGATCAAAAAAATATCTTCGCGAATCCGGATCAGGCTTACATGATAAGCTGCCTCTGTCACAATCTGATCGCCCCAGTGGAGGAAAGAGGAAAGACCCTCGGATGAGGAGCGACAGGAGGAATTAAATTTAACTGCTCCAAACGCAATCAAGTAGACAACATACTCAGTGGAGCGCCTAAGGTGCAGCTATGTTTGGCACCTCTCTTCTTTTAGCAAAAATTTCTGCTTTGCCAATTAAATCCATTCTTTGCATTGCTTAATTCAGGCTCAAATTTTATTTCACGACTTTGAAAAACTTCTGAATGGTGAGAACAACAAAGGAGGATTTTCGCCTATCGTCATTGAGCCTAAAAACTATGAATTTTGCGAAGAGGGATGTGAATGAACGAATGACAGAGAGAAGAGAAGTGAAAGGATGGAAGAGGGACAGTGGGAAGACTTTTATCCTCCCTTTTTGGGTCTACCTGAGAGATTAGATGATCACACGATTTTAGTCTTCCGACCAGGAAAGTAATTGCTGAATAAATTATCCATAGATTAAATAAAGTTACTGAAAGGGGTTTAAATTCAATTTACCAGGCCTTCATGCCTACGTGTCTGCTAGGCATCCATCCATCTATATGTCTGCGGTTTTGTCCACCTACTTTACTGTTAGATGGCAAATTAATTTAGCACGATTCTAGAAGTACTTCCTCCGCTTAAGTCTCAAATAAAATTTATATACTCTAGGCTCCCCAAATGTTTAATTATGGAGAACAACATATTCTTTTGTTAAGAAATTCTCATGTTCATTTGCACGGCTTGTTACAACTTCAAGAGGAGGTTCGGGTTGCCATAATTTGTGTCAGAGGGAAGTAAACCTGATCCAAAAAGATCATTACCCTGGTACCTCAAAAGAAGGGCTGCTGATGACCGCAGTTGTGGAGTTCATCATTCTGCAAAGTGGGGATTTATGACCGAGGCAATGTCAGACTCGAACAAAGAGAATTTGTTTATTATAGAAGTGGCAATGAATTGCAGGAAACAACGATGCCTTCCTTATGTCTCTGCTGGTTAAGAGAAGGGCGAACGATGCGGCAGGAAGAGGTATTTGTCGAGAACTAGCTCTGCGAAGCGACTTTAATTTATGTGTCTCCTTATATGGATTTGTGCATGACATAGACTCTTTGTAGAGCCATTCCTAGCCAGTGAATCTTCATCCGTCAAGAGGACGAGTTTGAGGACATAATAGGGGGAACATTACCCCTCTCTGAAGCTGGACTCAAATAGCTTACCACTTTCATAAGCATTTAGTTACCAACCTTTCTAGTCTCGTGGGTAGTTTCAGAAATACCAAGGGTATCTTGATGATGAAATCTAGAGACAGATTAGTTAAGGTGCCGAAAGAGGCACTCAAAACAGGCATAAGTAGATCATACAGAACTCCACCTTTACAGATCTCCCTTTAATCAGGCCTTGACATAAAGCATTAGCCTGTTCCACAAAAATGTCTCCCAGTACTTCCTTCCATCTTATCTGTCGCAGAGGAATTTCCTGAGTACAAGCATTAAAGCAGTTTGATTTGGGACATAATAAAGCAGATGTTAAGTAGTGCAGGAATCAACATAATCATTCCATTTTAGTTGCCAGGTAGCAGCTGAATTGGAAGAAAAATTAATGGCAGCAGCTGCCACATTAAAACAATTATTGCCTTCCAGTCTCCTCAGAAGTTGTAATAGGGTATGTCAAGTGAGAGGAATAGCTTGTCTTTAGGGCAAAGAAGGGCTGGAGGCAAGTTCTTGAGACACTAAGGCATTATTAAGCCCCCATCCATTCCCCCTTCCTTCAATCGGACGTCGTCCATGAGGCCCCCTTAAACACCCTTCGCTGCCAGCTATGGAATGCTGCCACCGGAAGAGCGATGCCCATCAGTGACCTCCTGTGGGTTAGATGAGGATTTCGACCTATCGATATGACTGTGTTTCGCCTCATTCGAAATGACTAAGTAGAGCACTAAACAGGGAATTTTAACTTGGCCCACCTTTGAAGTAGTGATCCTCTTCTTACCCAGCCATCCCAGTCAGATGTTTTTCTTCTAAAACGTATGCAATGTCAGGATTATCCTCACTCTCACCGAACTCGCTCGCCGTTACCACCAGCGTAGCGTCTCGAGTCTTCCTTGGACACGAACCTGCGGTTTGGCGCAGGAAACGAACTCACCATAGCGCATCGTCCAGACTGGTGTTGCGTTGGTTAAGGCAGAAGAGTGTCCATAGTTATTGCCAAGACCGTCACTAATCAAGAAGGCTATTTAAAGGAGTGAAATCCAGTTTAATTGTGCAATTGACTAAACGGGCTCATAGATCTCTGCGATTTTGGTGCTCTGGGGCTTTTTTACATGACCATAGACTTTCATAGACGTTTTGCCTCAACAGGGAACATGTCT